GTCTACTTCAGACAACCCTAATGGTTTTCCAACACGGTTTTGAACTCCCACCATAGAAGTTATTCTGCCATTTGTTGTAAGGCCAAACTGTTTACATAACTGCAAAAATCTCTTCAGTAAATCCATGTGGCTGCAAATTGTATAGTTTTACCTACAATTAATCCCATTTTGCATGAGCACACAGTACAAAGCTGCAAAGATTGTTACTAGGAAGACCGTTACATTCACTCCCCGATCCTTTATTTTCTAGACTAAACTCTCTTGCAGCCTGTTTTCTTTTGGATGACTTCTTTATTAGGATTCTTTAATTATTCTGGAGGTGACGTCTACATACTCCCCAAACTGTACATAACACAGATCACCACTGCCACCTGTGGCATTTGGAATTTTTCAAGTCACCCTCATATTGCTGATCCACCTCTGGCTCGAGGGCTGCAAAACCCTCCAGACAGAGAACAGCTCCTCACACAAGCATTCCCGAGCTCGTATTTGCATTTAATCTGTCCAGCTGCAGCCTTTTGCACTTACCTTTACTTATTTAGACCTTGTTGATTTCTCCCGTTGCAAGAATAAAAATAATATTGGAAAATGTCTTCCACTGAAACAGTTTCTAAACTGATGTCACTTATAAGCCTTGTATATTCATTCTGCTTTCCGTCACTCACGCTGCACTTCTAACCATTGCACAGCACTAGCTCAAACCTCCACTCAAAGGATCATTTAGCTTTGCCAGAGAAATAGCGATTACTGTTATACAAATGTTGTTCTCCCGTCAGCTGTATATCCATCTTGGAGAATTTTCAGCCAAACCATATTTCTCTTAATTTATTTATGAAAATGATAAGGTCCAGATACGTACTGTCAGGTTGCCTCACACCTGTCTAGTAGGTCTGCTGAGGTCAGACAGGTGTTACAGAGCTGAAGTTTCCTTGCAGGCTTTACCTACTGTTATTAACTGAGGCTATAACCAGAAGTTAGATACTAGAAAACAACAATCTTGGCAATCTAGATTTACTGTTATTGCCTAGGGGGGAAAGGTTGGAGGTTTTTTGGATTTTTTGGTTTGGTTTTTAATGGCTGCTGTTTGTTTCACTGAAGCATTTTAGGAAGTCCCTCTCCAGTTTTTAAAAGCCTGTAATTGCCCATCAGACTGCAGCAAGGGATTTTTATTTTTATTTTAGAACTATTATTCCAGTGCTAGGGTTCTGCATGTACTCAGCAGTTCAAAGTCTATCCTTAAGCTAACTTCCATTTTACATCTATGTAATTATATAAACAAATTAAAGAACACTTATTTTCATAACTATTATACTATGATAACTGCTAGCTGAATGCACCTGTCCTTGTGCCTAGTCAAGCCTTTGCATGCTTCCAATGTTGACTTACAAATCAGTTTCAGAAGCGTGTGCAGGGAAGACTTGCATCAGCGAGTCACAAAAATCCTGAAAAAGTTCTACTCTGCTCTCGGGATGGCTCAAAGATGCAAGAAGCAGCAAACCAGATGGTCACATTATGAAAAAGTGCCACTGCAGCAACAGTATTAAACATATTCCTTAAATATGTTAAAATAAACATACACCATATATATGGCGTAATAATTTAGTTGAAAATGTCCTGTGAAGAAAATGAGAACTAAGCTTTTGTAACTGTGTTTAATCTTTAGTTTCCTTGAGAAAGATACCTGCAAGATGGAGGGAAACAGAAAAAGAGAAGTCACTTCCAAGTTTCCCTTCAAGGGAAGAATACAATACCGTGTAACTGGAAGATCTAGCTTAACCTCAGGGCCTAGAAACTGCAGGAGAGATTGGTGCTGTAAAGCTCATCCTTAAGCAACTTCCTAAGTGAAGAAACTCGTAAGTAGTAATGAATTTGAAGCTTTAGTCCCAATGGCTGCTAGAAAGATCTCTCCTTCTTAATCTGTATCTTTCCTAGCCATCCAGACGGTTTCCCAAGAAGAGATTCAAGTACTCCACTGCACCTCATCTCCAAATTGTTCCCCTAGTACATCTGTAGCACCATGCATTGCCTGCAGTGTGAGGATACCAAAACAAAGCTGACAAATGTAGCATTACCAATAGAATCCCAACGGCATGAAGATGAACGGAAAATGCTAAGCAAAAAAGTCTAGTTCAGTTTTCCTTAAGATGTTTCTTCATGCCTCTTGTATCTGTCCACCAAAAATTAGGAGGAGAAATGTAGAGGCAGAATGAATTTGTGCTGGTAACAGAAAAGCACAAACATAGTTATTGTCAGAAAACCCAATTAAAAGCAAACTGTTCAAAATTTATATAAATGATACCTCTAAAACCTTTTTAACTACAAGTAAGTCTTTTTAAACAGACCACATCTATGGCATGTTCTATCCACAGATTAAACCCTACAACCCTAGTACCAGAAGGGCAGTGGAAGAGTGAACATTATACTAGGAAAAAGTGGTGGAAACTAAGTTTATGTATGATAAATATCACTGTATTATTTTCATTACAGAGATGGGTTTTTTTCCTGTATAAAGTGTTTTTTCCGTAATAATTAGATCTGGCCTAATAATGACTTCTGGGTTAGATTGTAAAGATTTTGGTTACTGAACTGAATATTCAATTATTCCGTTTACTACACAGTAAGGTTTTGACTTTTTATTATAAAGTGTTTCCTCTTTTCTCATTAACAAGGTTGAATGCAACACTAGTGCTTAATTATTAGTTTTTCCAGGTGTCCAAATTGCTTCACATTTCAGCCCATTCCTCCTTACCAACCAACGTACTTAATACAGGCCTCTTTTACAGTCAATTTAGATGTCCACCTAGCGGGGTGTTTTCCTTCTAGGTAAGGGCATTTTAAATTCTTTGGCCTTTGATAGTCACCTTACCAAACTAATCCATTCAGTTTAGGTCAATTTTATAGCCAAAACCCTGCCGATTTCTATTTTATATTTCTTCTTGTAGGAGAAGACACATCAACTCCTTTGGCCTTTCTTGACAGCATGGCTGTGATCAACTGGAGAAAAATACCAAGGAGAATAACTATCCATGTTTTTCTTGAATTGTTTGGGTCAGGTGAGGGTATTTAAGGCTGTAGCCTTTCACGGCTCAATGACACGAATTCTAGCGCTTGTTACTTCGCAGGAAATACTCCAGCTTGTGATCCTCAGTCTGCTTTTCCCACGGTACTTGCCTAGCAATCATTTCCCCATCCTGTACCTGCTTCGCAGTACCGAGCTTCATGTTTATTTCCACACCCTCTTCTCCCACTCCTCTCCAATTTATGAGGATCATTTTGAATTCCAGCCCTGGTCTTGCAGAGCTTAGGGTCATCCACAGAATTCATAAATGCACTTTACTTTTCTTCGTTTGAATATACAATGATTCTAGATCTGCTGGAGACAGAGTACAGTAAAAGGTTTATCACCGAGTTCATTTCTCACACCTGTGGAATCAGACCATGATACACGTTGCTGAAGTTACACGCTATAAAATTGAGCAAGTAAACTGTGAAAAATAATTTATTGTACTAATTTTCAACAGTCAGTAACATTAACTTTCTGTTCAGAGGTAAGAGATTACAAAAACATCTCATATGAGCAAATATTTAGTGAGCTGGGACAGACTCAGCTAAAACCATCCCTGCAGGTTAACACTGAGTTCCAAGTGCTAACTCGCATTGTACAAGCTCAATACAACACGCAACCATCTTCTCTTTCCATCTCAAACTGGAAATTGCAACTTCTCCTCCCAGAAGCAGCATTCACCATGTGGCTAAAGGGAGCTAAGGTACACCAGTCACCATCAGTATTCCAGCATCACCTGTAGTTCTGGTCCCAGTCACTTCTTGTTGTACGTTGAAAGGTATCCAAAACAAGCACTTTGTGTTACCTCTGATATTTGTATTTTGTCAATAAAATTAACATTAGTGCTTCTCCAGCTGGATCCTCTAACGTCTTCTTTTCCTCTTGGGGAGAGAGACTTCTGAAAAGAAGTGAGGAGATTTTTCTGACAAGCTTTTCAATTTATCTTCCCTCATGGGAATGATTAAAGTAGAATAAATTTTGCCCAGTAAAGGAAATTAATTAGATGAGGTCTTGAGATCTCTTTCCAATCCCTCCCCCTGTGGTTTTAAATACAAAGAAAACCCTTCTAGATTCTACAGCACACTGTCATTCAAAACATCAATTAAAACTCCACTGATGACCAAAATACTGTTCTTCAAAACTTAGTCACACTTGAGAGCTTTCTGCTCCTCACGAACACCTTTAAGATTTCATTGTGAATTTGACAAAAGGAATGCTCACAAAACTAAGCACAAAATATCTAAGGAGATTGCTTATGAATATTTTTAATGCTTCAGAATTTGCTGGCAAATTCTGAGAAATGGAGAATGTTTCTGATTTAGAGAGAAACTTTTTGTCCACAACAAATTCAAGGAAAAGTCAGTATATAAAGTACAGTATTAAATACACTACTGTCCCTTCCATCTGACCATTTCAAATTGAATGAATTCACACAGTCTATGACCAAAGTGATCAGAGAACGTAATCTCTCTTCAGTACTGCAAGATGCTCTTTTTGCTTTTAAAAAGAGCAAATATGAATGTGCTACCTTACTACAAAAGTAGTTAGGTTATCTAAGTTCCCAGAGCTACTAGAACAGGTATCTTCTGTAAGTCGAAAAATGATCCAGAAAGATCACTTTTCCATACACAGTGGAACTCTCTAAGACTGATCTGTATTATGCGAGAATCAATATCCTTCCACCTGCACCAGTTTTAACTCTGAACACAGTGTAATAAATCTATTTAGAAAAACACGACTCGCAGGATTTTGCTCATAACAGAGTCTCAAATCAAACCTTCAATTTCCATGCAACAATTTAGAGGCTCAAAGCTAATCTAGCTTTTGCAAGGCAGCAACACATGGTCCAAAATATCAAGTCTAGTTTCAGAAAAATACAGCAATGGAGAGCCATTAAAAACCAAGTCACTGTTTCTTAGCATTTCAATCATAGTACCTCCTTCATCTGAGCTTTCCTCTGTGATGACAGGCATCCCAATATGCCGAGTAACAGTTTCCTTTGCCGCTTGTGTTTCACCTGCAGACAATTTTTAGGGAAATCTGTCAGATTTTTTTCTTTGCTTCAACATCTCAGGTCCAGCAGTTAAAAGACTGTTCACATGATGCTCTCTTGACTTTCTAGTCCACGGCCGTACAGAAACACATACATTTAACAGCACTTCCATATGGCTCACTAAAGAAAATTTCAAACCCAAGTAATTACACGACAAGTTTAAAGCATATTAATCACCAGCTCAGTCCAGACATAATTCCAAATGTCCTTATTTCTCTTCAAAACTTTATGTACTGTTCTAAAGTGAAGCAAATCCAACATTGCCTAATACCTCTGAAGAGGAACAAATTTTTTCAGTAACCTTTTTTCTAGCAGAATCTAAGCAAGACAGAAAATAAAGTTTGGAATTTTGAAATTAAATCCCCATCTTCAAAATAAAGTTAATTCAAAACTATTTTGCTGCTCAATTTCATTTAACCTTTAGTAAGTAATAAGCAAAAGAAAAACTTAAGTGGCACACCAACTTTTATCAGTTTATAAGTTGAATATCAGAAAGACTATTTCCATCAGAAAAGTAATTTCTCCCAGTGCTGAAAATACAGGAGAGAGATCTAAAGAAAATCTTGAAAGACAAAAAGAAAGATGCATAAGGAGGGATGTGCGAATACCTAGTAAGTAAAACTGCACCAATACAGATGACTTAAATGCTCTAACAGTAAAATAACTAAATCAATCACTAATCAGTTCAGAAATGCCAAAGGTCAGCAAGACAGGAGCTCTCCAACAGAGACCTGAAATAGCTGATCTCCCTCTCCTTTCTCATATCCTCTTTTGATCTAGCAAAGTACCCTCCCACCAGGTCTTACACTTATCTCACATGAGTCAGCCTCAAGTTCTGAGACTTGATCTCTTTCAGGATATATTAACACAAGTGATGACCCCATACAACAAGAATCCATAAAAATCCTTTAAGTTGCTGGTCTTGGCATCACACCTTCAACAAACAATTTTTAAAAAAACGAAAAAAAGATATTAACTTGGCAGCTTTGGATCAAGCAAGCCTTTTTTTTTTCTGAAAAAAACTTCTGATTGGAGCCAGAAAGCAGTTGCCAGTCAAATTTTCTTACTTTTAAAAATGATCACCACATCCTTGCTTACTCCATTGCATTCTCTTGTACTTATTCTCTTTATAGGCATTTTCACTCCATAAGCAGCCACTTTTGTCACCCATAAAATTTCATCCTTTCCACCGCATTCAAAGAGAGATTACAGGCATCTGCATTTGATATTATGTAAAATTTCTTGTTAAAAGCTGCAAGTCTTTCACGGATGCTATTAAGCAAGGACCTTCACTGAGCATACAGATGCCAATGTTTCCTCTGTCAACGTAGGCAAACCAGAATGATACCAAGTACAAGCTGTTAAAAGCATCTCCTTCTATGGTACATTTCAAAGTAAGAAAAGAGGTCCTAAATACTGGACATAAAGTACTCTGTATCTGTTTTAAAACCAAATATTTTCAGAACTGTTTTTATTCCTAGCAAAAATAGCTTTATAGCTCAGGAGAAATAAAACAGACCACAGAACAGAATCACAAAACAAGTCACTGGTATATAAAAAATCTTCTTGTCAAGAAGGGAAAAGTTAAGTCTAGCCAGAAACTGAAGAAATCTAGAGCTGTTACAGTGTAATAACTGCAATACTGAGATTAAGGAAACAATCTGCAGAGAGTTTTGGAACTACATCAGTCCTTGACAAAATGTTTGTATTCATGTGCAAATACTACAAATTTTAGTAACAAAGGAGCAAAATAAATAACAATATCAGATGTAAAGAGAATGACTGATTTGATAGTGCAGGTGTTAGTCGCACAAAGCAATCATCGTCATTAAGATATCAACACAATTTTCTCTCCGGAAATATTAAAGGATATTCCTTCACGGGCTCAGGAACAGAACACAGAAACACAGCATGGTTTATTTTAGATTTCATGATGATAGCATGAACTACCAGATAGGCTGTTTTTCATCAGAAAGCTTCAAAAGTAGAAGCTATCTGTCAGAAGAAACAGACATGTATAGGTAAAATTAAGATACTGTCACACATGAGGTGCTTTTTCCAAGGTTGTGCGTTTCCAGAGACAAATTAGCAGGACTGTATGAGACTTCAGATAAACAATAAACTGCACACACCCATGTTGTCTTTCTATCCGACCAGCCTGTGAGAAACAGACAAAACCATTCACTTACAATATTGGTACCACAAAACATGTCTTTAATCTTCTGCCTCCACTAATCAACAGTAAATTTAACCCAGTTGCCTAACAAAAGCAATGGATAAACTTCTGCAGTCTCTCCAGGTTTCACAAATGCAATGGATAAATACCTTTGATTTCCAAAGATTTTCTTCTCCTCGATGGCTGTGGTCTCTGACTGTTTTTTTGACTTTGGCTTGGAGATTTCCCATAATTTGATCCTGATTCAGCAGATTCTAATTTTACTTGACGATGTCTTCTGGATTTGGAAGCCTAGAACCCAAATGTACTTTTCCAAAAACTGCTGCACCATAAAGCCTCCTTACTATCTGTCCTATTCTGCTTTGGTGCTTAGAAAACACTCTCACTGCATATTCACAAGCTTTGACTGTTATACATTCCAGAGCTCTGTTTCATTTAATAATGCATTCTTCTACATAAGATTTTAATAAACAAGAAAAGTTCTAATGTTTCTCACAGGCCTGCTATAAAAGAGACAATGTTTTTAAAGGAGCAGTTATTGAAACAATGTTTCCAAGAACTTCTAACTGACTTTAAACCCCAAAGTTCTATCTTTGCACGCAACTTCAGAGGTTCCAGTATCCAAGCTTCAAAGAATTTGAGCAATTAACCTTCCAAGTAGTTATTCCATCTATTTAAACAGTGTGCAAACATTAAAAGATACCTTGCAAAGGAAAATCCCCTAAGCACAGACCAAATCTGCACTGTTTCCACAAATCCAACAAGAATAATCAGAGTTCTCTCTGATATGTTACATTGTGTTACACAACGTGAGAACATTTAAAGGTTGAATTACAGAGCGCAATTTTAACTCACTCCTTTCTTATCCAGCATTTACATTAAACTGGTGCTTAAAACTGTTCTTCAAAAATAAATACCTCCCCATCATCAAATTTTACACCTACCTCAGCAACTGCAGAGTAAGACTTGTATTTGATTCTAGCCAATGCATTTGCTCTTTCAGAACCCTGTAAAGAAACAAGAGATCAGTAGAAAAAGTTTTCATATTCTGTAATAGCAGTACTGAAATGAAGTATCATGTCAGACAATCACTTGAGCAAAATCTCACTACAGCTGTAATTTTATAGTTAGTTCTACATAATTAGAATGCAACTGAAGTGCTAAAGGGAAAAAAAAAAGTTCAAATTTCATTAAAAAGGCAGAGCATAATTTTGGTTACCTTCACTGTCATAAAGCCCAGGAGGATATAACAAAATTTGAAAATTCATATCTTACTCGAATTCAATGTTGAAATAAGCAGCTAAGTATAACACGAGATAATTTTGCAGTATAAAAAACCACCGAGCTTTGCATTTAACTGAAACTCCAGGAGAAGCCATAAAGGAGTTTGGCCAAGACAACAGAGCTCGTTCTTCTCCTCACCTGAAAGACATGTTTTATTACATGCACCTAAGAGCTAACACAGCAGTGCATGCTCACAGCTTAACAGAAAACAATGTGATTTAAAACCAAAAACAAACAAGAAAAAACAACCAGCCCCACTAGCTATTCCTGGAACTTATTTTGACACTGTCAAGCCTTGACATACACTGCTTAGCTTGTGAACTGAAGTAAAAAAACTGAAAGGTATGGCCTGTGCAATACAACAAACTAGTTAATTTTTCTTACCTCTGATTCTAGCAAAGCCTCTTCTTCCTTTTTGTTTGATATTTCATCAGTTTCTTTAGCATGTAGGAATAACTTCTGGGGGGGGGGAAATTAAAATGCCTATCACACACAAGACAGCTAGAATTCAAGAATTGTGAAAAACAAAACAAGTATTTACACACATGCCCACTTTCTTCAATGATCTTACATTCTGGCCTTTTCTCGATCCAAGAGCGTTACAGATGCTCATTCTGATACTGCCCAGAAGTCACATCTTAAGGGCTTAACTCTCGGCAATCATTTAGGTTATTATCACAGAGGCAGTACCACACACAAGTCCACAGTCCTCCCCCCACACCATAACTCTACGTACGGTTTTACTCATTCCATGTTTTCAGTTCTCTGATTCCTTCTACTTAAGTCTGAGACTTACAAAGTATGTTCAGAGGTAATTACATTAAGAAAGACAGTTCTTACATGTTCACACCATCTGTTAAGCTGCCACAGCACAATGGTTGAAATTACCTACCATTCTGTTCTGCTGCCATTCCTGATGTTCCAAAGTTATGTCTTTAAGAGTAACTACAAAGTCATCTTTTATCAAGCTCAGTGCCTTGTCTGGCTGGGATTTGTCAGCTGAAATGACACACTTCATTTTTTGATAGTGGTCATGAATATTCATTAGTTCCTAAAATAAAACAGATCCTCTTTTCATTAAAAAAAACCAAAAAAACACCAAAACCAAAAGATTGCAGCAGTAAAGCAATATTAGTCCTCACTGAAGAAAAGTAACTCTTCCAAGGAGACCACAGAACAGGCAGGAGCTTTAGAAACAGATTCTGGTTAAACCAGTTGAGTTTTAAGAAGCCCAACAATACTGCTTCTTAGCACTGTCCCACCAGTCCACCAAATAAGCAAAAGAAGAAAGAGTATCTTGTGTTATTCAAACTAAGACGACTCGGTGATACTCAGGACCAGTGCCCATAAAGGTTTCTGTCTGACATGGTGGTCTACTTTCACCTCTCTGGAGAAAGTATTTTATCTCCTCTGTTCGAGGAAGCAGGTCTTCTCACCCTGCCATTTCACCGACCCCTGACTTTTGTACCACTGTAGTCAACCTTCCTGATGATACATATTTGCTCACAGCAACTGGAAAAACCTTTAAACAAAGACTTATTACTGAATCATAATGAGCAATATAAGAACCTATACCTAGCTTGAACAATTCAATTTTTTTAATAAAATGTATAACATATGAACAAAATAAAGTTTTAAAGGAGAAATAAAGGTTAGAGAAGGCTATAAACTTGTAGATAAGTAAACTCATACCATCATAAGTATCAAGCCTCCAGCTGCGACCTGCAGACACGTCAAAGCAAATACGATTCCCCTCACTGCAATTTTCCATTTTTCTCTGTCTGCGTGACAATTAACCATTTATAGCCTTCCTCTTTTATACCTTACTGAGGCAAACCCACAAAACATTCAAGCGTGTTTCAGTATTGAAAAAACAAACCACAATTCTTCCATAATAAATTCCATGTTAATGAGTGTTCAGTAAAAATCCGGGCACAGACTATTACCCTAGTCTGCATTCCATAAGACAACTTACAAGGACGTGATTGTGCTAACTAAGTAAGTTATAGCATTTGGACAACAGAAGAAGAAAAGCAAAACAAACAAAAGCCAAAACAGTGTTCAGCCTGTAGTTTAAACATTACAGTACCTCCAATACATCATTAGTGATGAGGCTGTTTACTCTGTTACTTGGGTCCTTAAATTCTTCTTTAAATTCATTTTCCTGAACCTTCTTCTTAGTTCGGTAGTTTAGCTAAAGCAAGAGACAAGGTTTTGTAACGTAAAAGCAAACTTAGAATTTTTAGCACGACGTGCTATGTTTACTGCCTATCCAATCACCAAGAGATGCTGAAAGGCACAAAAGCACCTCATTGACAGCAGCATGCAGTTTTATTGCAAAGCGCTGAGAGTCAGCCCTTTTCAAAAATTATTCCCTAGTCAAGAATTTAATCCAGCACCCAGATTCAAGAGCTTGACATTTCCGCAAAGTATAAGACATCTCAAACCTAATAAGAACATTAGATACCGAAAAAGTATTTTCAGGTGAGAAGCACCTGCTTTCTTTGACAGTGACATTCAAAATTCCTCTAAGGCTTTGCATCACATACTCAGCTACATAAAGCAAAACCTATGGCATTTCAACACGGCCTCAAAGCTAAACTAAATCCATGAGTGCTGTTGAACTGTAAGCCATTGAAAGCTTAAATATTTCACTAAAAATGGTAAATCATCAATGCAATAACTCACTAGCTTTGGCATTGCTGTGAAGTGGAATGCTCTGGCAAGTCGCAGTGTCCTGAAGATGTACGCTGCGTCATAATGCTGGGAGTTTATCAGGTCCTGTTGAAATTTCTGGATTTCAGGCCAATCCTTGAGTGCAATTCTGATCTGCAACAAAACAGCTGTATGTTGTCATACCAACCTGCATATTTCAACAAATAAAAATAAATTCAGCTGAATACTGTGACCATCTTATACTATGGGCCATACTTGGAAGCCTAAGGTGTAACATGATCACAGAACTACAGAAAGGATCCTACTACAGGCTTTGTTACCATCAAAATTTTATGTAGATAAGCTCATTGTATTGTTCCGTTAAATACTCTCACTACAACTGCTTTCTTCGACAGTGACATGGAACACAAGTCCCCTTTGATATTTGATAAAGTTAACTCTTCACATTCCAAGATGCCTGAAACAATACACACATAGGAGACTCTCACTCACTAGGTGATTAAGAAACAATATTTGTGCCATGATTTCCTGCCAGTGAAATAAAAGTTTCCCTATCTTCTTTGTTTTCCTTCCTCTCCCATGTACTCTGCCCACTTCATTTTGTCTCTACTCAAGTCAGTTTCTTTGATAATTCCTGGAGTCTGTCACAGGTGCTACACAGCAGTGATTTTAAGAGTCCCTAAATTCACTTCCTTAAAAGATGTTAAGATATGAGATGTAATGGCATTACTGTAGAATACTTAAACGTCAGTTTGTTATTTAAAGAATTTGGACTCAGCTGTGCAGATGCACACAATACACATCACACAGTTTCCAAGTAATCCACTTCTTGCACTGAGTTTCCAACTCCTGTAGATACTGGTGTCCTGTCCTGGGAGCAGCAAGGAGACACATCATTCACACATTTGCCCTTTTCACTCATTTAAGAATTCCACTTCTGGTTAGCAGAAACTGGAAATAATTCAGCCCATCTTCATTCTGTTGAAGTTCCAAGGAATAACTGGGGCTGTAATGCAGTTCTCCACCGAGCTGAGGAGCATATTCTCTGTTCCCATTTTGAAAGCTAGTCTTCATTTTTGAACAGAGTCGAGCTTCCCATCTGGCAAACAAGATTTCTGAGACCACAGTTACAATTTAGAATGCACATGCACTATTTTAGTCACCACCACTTAAGTTCTCAAACCCAAAGGTGTTTGAAAGGCCACCTTTTCCAAAGGGACCATCTGGTTCTAACTATTTTTTAAAAAGTGAGAGAAAATACCCTACCTGTTTATGATGACAGAGTTACACTATATATCTTACATTTAGTGTCTCCTGGGAATAAAACCTCCAGAAGAATTACCTTTTGTTTTGGCTCACAAAGCTGTGTACTGTAGAGCCCATAGAGAAGGTACAAAGCACCAACTCGAATCTGGAAAGAGTATGGGGGCAAGAAGTACTGCTGTGCCAGTTCTAAAGTCTTCTTTGTGAGTTTATTCCTCTCCAAAGCTCTTATTCTGCCACTAAAGAAAAACGAAGCATGTTAAAGCAAGCAACTATAAAAACACAGGCTTTAGAAAATCCATAATGCAGAAACAAATGTAGGTATTTTAAAACATACTACCATAGGGCTCAAGTTGTGGTAAGTCTTCAAAGACAGCCTTAAGCTCTCACATAACACTGCATGGAATTTCTTGTGTTAAATTAGATGTAAAGTGAAAATCAAAATACCCTCCAATCATAGTTTCAATGTCATAAGCACTGCATCAATCCCCTGAAGCATCAGTGCTCAAATCACGTGTTACTGATGTACAAAATAAATTTCACTAATAAACTGTTTTTCCAGTATTACGCAGGGACCCATGCTCCATTGCCCTTTACAGAGTCACGGAATTGCCCAGAGTGGAAACTGATAGGACAAGGGGAAATGGGTTTAAGTTGAAGGAGAACAGATTTAGGTTGGACCTTAGGAAGAAATTCTTCAGTACGAGGGTGGCAAGACTTTGGAATAAATAGCTCAGAGACATTGTGGCTGCCCCCTCCCTGGAGATGTTCAAGGCCAAGTTGGACGGAGCCTTGAGTAGCCTGATCTAGTTGAGAGGTGTCCCTGCCCATGACAGGGAGGTTGGCCTAGATGGTCTCTAAGGGTCCTTCCAGCCTAGGCCATTCTATGATTCTGTGATATGACCATAAAGCATCCAACCGTTAACCTACCCCTGACAAGCCCTCGGCTAGCCCATACCCCTGAGCTCTATGTCTGCCCGACTCTTACAGACACGCAGGGATGGGGACTCCACCACTGCCCCGGGCAACCCCTTCCAGTGCCCG